CTATGGGGAGTGCTAATCCTATGGACTCTTATTGAATGTGTAGATAATGCTAATCTATTCTTTGAAAATCACCGGAATAGTGGTTAACGTATAGCATCGCTGTGTGATCCTTGTTTCAATTACAGAATATTCATTATTAAATATTCAATCTGCTATATGTAAATAAGATATCAAGCAAATTTAATTTGCATATTGCATAAAACATTATTGGCAAATAATAATGTATTGATTATGAGTTGTTGTGTCATAATACTGTATTACTTTTCATAAAAGAGTTTAATTGAATTATGCGATATTATTATATTTATCAAAGAAATTGTACTCATTAATTAAAAATAAAATAGCTGATTGTAGACGAGTTAGTACAGCAATGTTGTACGTTAACCACTATTTGGGCAATACTTAAAGAATCGATGATTGTCTATAGATTTAATATGAATCTCATAGACTTGTAATTCTCAAGAAAATTAGCATTACTCTTATTGAGTATGTATTGTGCATAGACTTAGCAATCATATTAAACCTATGTCATAGACTTAGTATTGCCACATGTTATCTGTGTGTTATAGACTTAAGCTGTATTTCCATAGAAACCCATGTTAAAGCGTTTATGCACGTTTTGCATGCTTTATGTTAAACCAAGCATGCAAAGTATCTCCATGTTAATATATAATAATATGACTATAGTATTAACATGTGATTCAGTGTTATTTCTCATCACTTGGGAAAATAGGGGTATGGAGACAAAGTTAAGGGAATGGTGGTTAAAAATTATTTAAGTCAACAGTCCTGTTATAAATCGTCTTAAATTAAGACCATAATTAACTCTTCAAAAACTACGTTAATATAAAGTACTTTATAATAGTAAATTGTTTTTATATTAATTATTTTTAATTACAAAAATAATATTTTGTAAATACTTTCTTTAAATAAAATAAGGTAATAAATATTTATTCAGGTTTGGCTCCCATTATAGCACGATACTTTTCCACTTGAGTGTCCCACTCGGCCTGCGATATAATATTAATCTCTTCATAATAAGGTAACTCATCTCGAAGTGTGTCAGCCCAGCGCTGTACGTTTGGGTACAGGTTTAAATCAATGCCACCTTGCTCCAAATAGGGAGTGATGGTCACTAGTGACAAATCAGCAATGGTCAAATTGTCACCAGTTATATACCGATTGTCCCCAATTAGTTGATCAAGTAATTTGAAACTGCCATTCACCGCGGTAACTTTATCGGCTGGTGGCTCAATTCCCAGTATAATTTTAGCTGCCTTAGCAGTTTAAAAATAACTAATTAATAATATCAAGTTATTTTTAATAAAATATAAATTATTTAAAATACCATCACTTCTGAGAGTTGAGCTAAGAATGAAAAGTCAAAGTTAAGAGACCGGTCCACTAGAGCGCGCTTTTTAGGGTCCTTCGGGTAGAGAGTGCTGTCCGGCGCGTATCGGTTGCACAGGTATTGCATTATTGCCCGACTCTCCCATAGGACAAACTCGCCGTCAACCAAAGTGGGAACTTTATGGTTAGGGTTTATCTATATTAAATAAAATAAGTAAAATCTTTAATAAACTTGTAAAACATTTTAAAAATTACATTAAATATTTTTAAAAAATTATTTGTAATAGATAATTAACTAAACATAGTTGTTAGATGTAATACACAGATAATTACTTACAGCGAGGTATTCGGGTGTCATGTGTTCGCCAGCACTCAAATCCAGTTGTTTAAGATTAATGTCAATGTTTAACTGCCGGACTGTCATCAACGCAGCCCTCGACGGACCGCTAAACTTGTTATAATATAAATCAATAGACATTATTTGAATTATTTATATTATTTGTGTAAAATACAATTGTACATTTACATTCACAATTGAGTTAATAATGAAACAATGCTATTTAACTTTTATATGTTTATCTGGTAAGCAAACTTAAAGTACTAAATGCGCCAAGGTTGCTTACAAAAATGTTAGATAAAAAAAATAATGCCAATTGATATACCTAAACCAAATGAATAAATGCAAGTAATGATAATTATATTGAAGCTTAATGTATTTTACTTTATAATAAATATGATAATAAATATTATGATTCATCCGTTGACATTTACAATTGTAAAGCTATTGTTACTTAATAAAGTAAATTGTATTAAATAAATGTACAAAATAATGTGATAGTTACTTTTTTATCAGTCAAAATAATCAAAAATTTTGTTAACTGCATTTGTGTTAATTAGGTTTGTATTATATATTTAATGTACCTGTAAATGTCATGTTTTGTATATTAATTTATTGTAAATTTCTAAAATAAAAAGCGTGGTGAGCATATTTTATTAATAACAATACTGTATATTTATATAGTAAACACATTTTAATAATTATTAAGTATAAGTTAATATTTTATTATAATTGTTACGTATATGATCTTTTAGTAATGTAACTTTATCAATACATTCTGTATTTCCCGACAGTGATAATGGCCTGTCCTCACCGTATATGACATTGGTTTTAGTTTCGTATGAAAAGTATAATAAACTTATTTTATACGTTTGANGACAGTGATAATGGCCTGTCCTCACCGTATATGACATTGGTTTTAGTTTCGTATGAAAAGTATAATAAACTTATTTTATACGTTTGATACACACATCCCATCAAACATTTTTAAAAATATTTTAATCCCAAAAATTACAATAATAAAAATTTTATAACAATTGCGTTAAAAATTATAATGTATCTACTGAATTAAGGTTAAATTATCAAATCGCTATGCAAACCTTGTAATAAATATAAATATTGCGATAATTGTTGTTAACATGTTGAACAGTGTTTATGTGATGCTATTGGCAATAATACGTAGCGATTGTGGTCTTGGATTTACACGACGTTTTACGCGATGAAAAACTCGTGGATTATGGAAATGACTACATATTGAATGCCATTTATTTGTTATATTAAGTGATATAACGTGACGATTATTATAAATTAATGTGTGGCATTTTGTGAGTAATTAATTAATAATGTGAAATACAATTAATGGACATCAAAACTGATAATCCAAACCATAAACCAAACAGCGATCCGATAAACAGCACACACTCTATGAAAGACAACTTCAATGATACCTCATATAACTTATCAGGTCCTTCCGGGAAATTTAGTAAATAGAAATTATATTTTTGTACTCGTTATTTGTTTTATTTATGATTTCGTATTGAAGTGCATAATATTGTTTTAAACACTCTGTTCTTTCACTGCACTTACGTTTGCAATTTAATTCGCGTTTAGGAAACAAACTATAATCATTTGCCCACGATTGTTTAACATTATAATAACTTCGATTAACTTTATTATCATCGTCGTATTGTAACATAAATTGTGATATTTGACCATGGTTGTCATATTCCAGTTTAACGCATTTCATTACGCATTCATCACTTGTCTTTCTCGCCAAACATTTATCTGTATTTAACATATGATTTAATTTCACGGTTTCTTTTCGGTATGAGATTTCTACATAATTATATTTATCAATTTCAAAAACCCAACCAGCTCGTTGATTAGTATTTCGTAGCCGTTCCCCTCGAGAATGCACTTGAATAATAAGGTTTTAGATCAGCGATTTATTGAACAATGTAAACCAAATTGCATCTGAACTATTAATGTCGCGGAAGTTATCCGTATAACGAGTATCTGACCCACCCTTCCATTGGGATAATACTGTAATACAAGTCTTACCCACGAAAGCGATGGACCGGCGATACGGGACTACGGAATCGCATTTATCGCCTATGCTTTTTATATAACTCTCGCATTTTAATAAATCATTAATGTTCATGAGTTGGTCCAACTGGTCATTTACAGATTGGTTGGCAAATATCTCGTACATAAATGTATTATTCTGTTCATAGTATTTAGATTTAAATTCTGGTCGAATTAGTTTTTCGGTGTCCATAAATAATGTTAGCGCTGGTAGACTATACTCATCGCTAAACTTGACATTAGTTGTTGTTTCGTATGATAAGTATATTTCACAGATTTGATAGGTTTGATATGTAAATCCACACAATAGTATGCCGTAAGTTATTAAATTTGTTATTAAAGTATAAGAAAACATTTTTTATTTACTATAATTTGAAGTTAACAATTACTATTTTATAATGGCCTATGATATATTTATCATATATTATTTAAATATATTGTAATGTTAAAAACAAATTTATTTTATTACATTCAGTATTAATTCTGATATTGATAAGGTTTATTTTAACAAATATGTTGCATATTATATTAATGAAATTAGTAAACATTTATAATATTGCAATTAATAAAATAACTAATTTATGGACAAAATATTTACCAAAAGTTAATTTTAATTATATTTTGATAAAAATATTTTTACCAACAACATAATTAATATTTATTTTGATATATTTATTTAATATACGTTATTTACATTTAATTTAAGAAATGGTTAAATATATAAACAAAATTACAAGTTATTGCAAAAGGTATAAAATAAATATAAACAATAATGTTAAAATTAGAATAATTTAAATTGCAAATATAGCATAGCATTATTTATAATGTTTTAATTAAATTTTATTTTATTATTTAATAATAGATAAATTAAAATATTTTTATGATCTATAAATGATTTTTATAATATTTATATTATATTAATAATATTAAATCATTAAATTAAATCCTGACCTACAAAGGCTAGATCGAATTTGTTAAAAATAAATAAAGATCAAAATTTGATAAATATCAAATCAATATTATTAATTCAATCACTCAACATTAAAATTACTTAAAATTACTAAAAAATAAAATAAACATTGTAATTAATAAGAATATACTATTAACTGAAAAATATTTCCTAATTATTAACCGGAATTTATTATAATTATATTTAAACTAATATTTTATGTGATATTATGTACAGTGCATAATTTAATATAAAAGTTTGAAGGTCATGTTATTACTTTTTTATTGTCATAGTACAGTTTGTAATATTAAGTACATTGCATAACATTACATGTAATATTGTTTAACTCGATATTATGCTAAACAGTTATATAACTCAACATAGTGCAATCAGCACATAGTGCCCTTGAAACATGTTTTGCTATTTTGCGCAAGTGCAATATAAATGAATATAAACGCCATTAAACTAAAATCAAAATACAATTTATTAAAATCAAACTATTATTGAATTTAAAATCACATAGCTTGTGTTTTTAATTATTTTAAATAATTAAGCTAATATCTAATAATGACAATTGATTTGTATTTTAACCGATACAGTGGTCCAGTGCGGGCTGTTTGGATGACAGTCAGGCAATTAAAACTTGATGTTAACTTCAAGCCAGTTGACCTAGCTGTCAGTGAACAATTGAAACCAGAGTTTCTCGCTGTAAGTAAATTAATTGTTTCAATAAATTTATTTGCTATTTATTTATTATAAATTATTATAACATTTTATACGACATAATAAATACTAGCTTTAAGAAAATAATAATCATTAATTTATATTTCATTAAATATTTTAAAATTTAATTAAACTCAAGCATTGAATAATACAGTAAATTATCTTTATAACTATTTTTATACTGTACAGTTAAACCCCTTTCATACTGTGCCCACTTTGGTTGACGACGGGTTCGCTCTATGGGAGAGTCGGGCAATAATGCAATACCTGTGCAACCGATACGCGCCGGACAGCACTCTCTACCCGAAGGACCCGAAACAGCGCGCTTTAGTCGACAGGTCTCTTAACTTTGACTTAACATTGTTGAACCAAATTGAAGAAGTTGTGGTAAGTGTACAATATGTAATAAATATTAATTATTATACATATAATACATATTAATTTAAACTATTTACGTCCACTAAACACCAACATAGTTTACACCCATATTTTCGGGAGCCCCACCTTCGGCAGACAAAGTGACCGCGTTAAATAATAGTTTCAAAAATTTGGACCAGGTGCTAATAAAGCAAAATAAGTACCTCGTTGGCGACCAGTTGACCCTGGCAGATTTGTCACTACTGGCGTATTGGGTATATCTGGAAAAATCTAACACAGATGTCAGTGCGTACCCCAACTTCCAGCGATGGGTGGCCGGCCTTAAGGCAGAGCTACCCTATTATAATGAGGTTAACGGTATATCGCAGGCCGAGTGGGACCAGGAAATGGCCAGATATTTGGCTAGCATTGCCAAATAATATTTTTAAAATCCTGTATTAATATGAGAAAATTACTATATTTTTCTGTATTACAATTTATATTTGAAATATTTATTCCTGTATTCTGTAAAAATTCCTTTATAATACACAAAATTCCTGTATGTTTGGAAACGCTATATATGGCACAGTCTTAATAACTAATCTCATTGTAGTAAAGAGAAGTTTAAATTTACTAATAAATAAATTTTTTAAATTTCGTTAATGTGGTTAAATAAATTATTAACAAATGTTATTAGGAATACTCACAATTGAAATTCGGTTAGTGCCCGACTCCGATTTTAATTTAATTGCGTTATTCAGAGAGTTTAGGGCATATAAAACACATCTATGAACTTTTTAAGAGATGGCATTCACTTTGGGAGGCATGAGAGGGGGTCATATATCTCATGTTTCTCATGGATATTCAAATAAGGCAGTTAGTTTACATATAAGCACTTTAGCCTAATGGTTA